CTGTCAAAGTGGCTGTGTTGCTGGAAAAAATAATACTAGGTTCAGCCTCATCCTAAAGGAACAAGGCTAATTTATGCTGTCTCCATCAGCTAATTTTGAACCCTTTATTCAGCTGTATTTGACAGAACAGATGCAGGTTCAGTGACAGAAAAGAGACTGACTGGGTAAAGTACCTTCTGCGAGACCAAAGGCATCAGCTTTAGATGTCTGAAATTAAACAAAAATTTTGTTAGAGCTAAATCTGTCTTTGTTTTGCTGGACTATGTGGAAAAATCAACCTTTAACTCAGCTGGTAAAAACTGGAAATACATTGTAGGCTCTCATATCAGTCTCTTTTTTTCCAGCAGCAGCACTTCTTTGATGATGAGGACAGAACAGTTCCAAGCACACCAACTCTTGTAGTTCCACATCGTACAGATGGATTTGCAGAAGCCATTCAGTAAGTAGATGTGAAAAGAAAAAGGAAAAAAGGCTTTTCTTTATTCTATTTCTTTCTATTTTTCAGTGAAATCAAAATAAATTTAAATTAAATGAACTTGTGATTGAAGTAACATGGTAGGATAGATAACTGCATGTGCAGATGAGTAATTATTGTTTGAATTGTGTCATATAACTGATCAGCAAATTAGGAAGTGAATATTCTCCAGTGTATTGTAACTTGGTAATTTAAGAAGAGATTAAACAAACACAAAAGTTCTATCAAATTTCCTTCCTTCTTCTTCCTCCCTCCCCATTGGTATTGCCAATGAAAGTAGGAAAAGTTACCTCCATTTTTGCTTTTGGGATGTTCTGGACATGTCCAGCAATCTACTTAAAATTGTGAAAGTTCATAGAATGGATAAGTAAAGAATATTCTCTTCAGGACTGTTGTACTGATTTTGAATGCATTCCTAATAATTTGAGAGCTAATTGCTGTTTATTTAGCAGTAGCTCAGCTGATTTTTATGGTCAGTATTAGCTCATTTTGTGTCATGCTTGATTTGTTCTCTTGGTCAGAAAGTTCTCCCCCCTGCCCCGATCTTTGGGGAGGTTGCAGAATTCCTGAAGTCTGTATTTTCCAGTTCCCCCCAGGTAGCTGGAGTTCCTCGGTTCAGATTTGGGCCCCCCGAAGATATGCCACAAACCAGCTCCAGTCACTCTGATCTTGGGCAGCTGGCATCACAAGGAGGTAAAGCAGTTCTGGGCTCTCTTTTCTGTGGGTCTTTGAGTGAAAAAGAGAGAATTCAGTCAACAAAACACAATTCTTCACACAATGCTTCAGGAAATTGTTGAAGTGTGGAAACCTGCAACTCTTCAATAATTGTCAGCAGGGAGAGAATAACAGAAATTGACAAGGTGTTATCTTCAAGCTGCTACGTTTATAGTCGTGTTAGGATTTGGAAATTGAATGAAATACTGAAGGAATGGTTTTTAACTTCAATTTTACTATTCGTTGTAGCTTCCCTGTAGTGAAACGTTAGGGGAAAATATCAAATGCAAAGAAATCTTTGGGCTATGTCCTTATCTGCTCAGAGATGGCCAGGCTGTTGTGTTTGTTGTTGGTCTGAATCTGTCCCTTTCCCCGGCATACCTGTTGGCATGGAACACAGGCGGTTCTCTGAAGAAAGCTCACAGCAAAATAATGGCATCATACAATTATGAAAGTTAAAAAAAACAAGCAGTAATATTTTCATCAAGGTTTTACCTTCCAATAAATCGTGATCAGCTCTGGCAGTAAGTCAAAACAAAATAACAAAAATCTGCTTAAATACAAGTGACTGGATTTTATCAGGTGGCCAGAGGGAAGACATTGGGTAATCCTTTTTATAGCCACTCATTTGGATGGATTGTCACTGGAACTTTGTGTTGCAGGTTTAGGGATGTATGAAACCCCACTATTCCTTGCCCATGAGGAGGAATCAGGGGGTCGTAGTGTCCCCACAACACCGTTACAAGTGGCAGCACCGGGTAAGTGGCAGAGGTCTGCAGAGCGAAGCAGGGAATGATTCCCCGTGATCAGTGCAGTGCTGCTGCTCCTCAGGAGCGCTGGGCAGCCTGTCCCCGAGCTGCCTGTGCTGTCACAGGGCTCTGTGGGCAGGGCCTGAGGGTGTCTGTGCTCCGCAGTGACGGTGTTCACGGAGAGCGCCTCAGCCGACGCCTCGGAGCACGCGTCGCAGTCTGTGCCCATGGTCACCACCTCCACCGGCAGCCTGTCCACCACCACCGAGCCCGGCGCCGGCGACGACGCCGACGAGGTCTTTGCAGAGGCAGAGTCTGAAGGGTAAAGCACCTCTGCTGCTTTGGTTCACTAGCACTGCTGACACGTCCATTGTCACCCAGGGGCAGCTCAGACAGCGTTTTGTAGTGCTGTGAGGCAGGACAATCTGACTCGTCATCCAAAACCAATGATCTGCTGATCTTCTCCTTGGGGTTTAACAAAGTTAATATAAAAGTCACCAAAAAAAATTACTATTTTTTAAGAATGCAAAGCACTCTGCAGTAGTCAAATACTGATGTTAAAGGCACGGGATGAAGGATCAGTTTGTAGAATAAAGACTAAGGCGCTCCTGTGTAATACAGAAAATCACTCCTCATGCAAAGCACACATCTATGATTAAGTCACCCAGTTAAGACAGTGCATGTACAAAAGATGAGGCACAGGGCTGGAATAAGCAGTTCTTAGTGAATTTTGTAGATTAATAATTTTGTTTTTTGCTTTACAAGTGCAACTTACAATATTTATAATAATTGCTATGTTTTGTAGTATGGTGAAGTTAAGATCTAAAAGGGGAGAGTTTATCATTTTATGCTATATTTTACTTTTGATTTTCATTGAATCTTTGTGTTCCAAGACAGAGGTTGTTTTTTTCTGGACCTTTTTGAAGCTATGCAAATATACTTACATGGTTCTCCTCCTCCACCTTCCCTTCTAGCATTACTTCAGAAGCAGGCCTAGAAATCGATAGCCAGCAAGAAGAAGAATCTGTTCAACCATCTGATGAGTCAGATCTTCCTTCAACTAGTCAGGATCCTCCTTCCAGTTCATCTGCAGGTACAGAATAATCACAATAATAGTTCGTACCTTTTCATTAAGAGTGGGAATTCCTTTGTCCAACATCGTGGCTGGTAGCCAGTGTTACACAAAATAAGATAAAACTCTTAGAACCACAGACTCATAGAATGGTGGAATGGCTCTTAAAGCCCATGCAGTACCACCCTGCCATGGGCAGGGACACCTTCCACTAGACCAGGTTGTTTCACGCTTTGTCCAGCCTGGCCTTGGACACTTCCAAGGACCCACATCTTCTCTGGGCACCCTGTGCCAGGGCTTCCCCACCCGCACGGAGAACAATTCTTTCCCAGTACCCCATCTGACCCTGCCCTCTGGCAATGGGAAGCCATTCCTTTTTGTCCTGTCCCTCCATCACTTGTCCCAAGTCCCTCTCCAGCTTTTCTGGAGCCCTTTTAGTCACTGGAAGGGGCTCCAAGGTCTTCCCAGATTATTTTAGAGCAAAATCATAATTTGATGCCTGTACATTCTTTGGTAAACCATTTTTCCTTGGACCACAGTAACTGGAGTAGGCCAAAAAAGAATAACACTTCGTAGAGCAAACGTTACTGATTTATCCACTGGCATATTTGATGTCAGTTTTAAAATATTTTTAATTAAATTGTCAAACAACAATAAGTTAATCTCTATTGAGTTATCAATTAACCTCCTTGTATAGAGAGCAAAAGAAGTCCCAGACTTGTTTTGGAGCTTTTATTTATTTTTGAGGAGAGGTCAGTGAAATTGAAGGAGGCACCTTCGTCATTCTAAAGTAAAGAAAGCATAACACATACGAAAACATGTAAAGATGAGAACCTGGCAGGCACAGCCACCCTTTCTTTCTGCACTGCCTCTCCCACAGACACGAGCAGCACTCAGCCCAAGTCCCTGCGCCGTGTCCGGCTGCAGCCCCCGACGCTGAGGACGGGCGTGCGTGGCCGGCAGTTCAACAGGCAGAGGGGTAAGTGCTCCTGGCTGCTGCCAGCCAGGCAGGGAGGGAGTGACACAGCAGCCCTGCCCTCGAGTTTGGTGTGTGACCCTAAGAGCTCTAGTTTGGGTTTAGTGTGTTAGGCTGAGCAGGGTTTGGACAGGCAGACTTCCTTCTGCCGTAGCACCTGGCTCTTATCAGTAGAGAGGATGTAAAAGGGCATTGGATCTTCAAAGTTTTAAAGTAAGGTTTCAGAAGTCTATTAGGACAGCAGTTTAGAAACTTCTGGTTTTAGCATTAGAGGAATTTCCATTTGGTACATTAAGGATTCCAGTTATATCAATGTGTACTCATTGAAAAAAGCTTTATTGGAAGTATTACAGGTTTTTCAGTGTAATAGAGTTAAACCATGGCAAGAAATTATTTTTGCAACTTCTGTATTTAAAAAAAAAAAGCCTTTGATGGATTTTGTTCTGTTTTGCACTATTTTAACATTGTCGAAGACTCAATATTAACATTGAAATATAGATTAGCTGGTATTAAGGGGAAAAAATAAGGAGGTGGGACTAGGATAGATTTTCTTCCATCTGTCACCATTTTTTTAAATAACAAAAAGAGGGACTAACTTATTTCAGATGTTCTAAGAGTCTTCTGCTCATTGGTTTGGTTCAGGATCACAAGTCACCCCCAGCCTTTTGCATGACATAGGTGACATGTGCATGTGTCACCAGGCTTAGGGGCCAGAGGGGGAACTTGAACTACTGTATCAGAAGGGAACCACTCCACTGCCCTGACAATTCTTTAGGGAAAGATGAAGTATCACCTGTGCAATGGTTGATTAGAAGGGTTTGTACTAATGCACTTGTTTTTTTTTCCCTGCACAGGTGTAACTCATGCCATGGGAGGCAGAGGAGGCCTGAACAGAGGAAACATTAGTTAAATGAAATGTAAAGGACTTCCAGCTGTGTATACAAAATGCCAGTTTGCCTGTGATTGCTTAGTGTAATGAAGCCAGAGCTTGAAGCAGCATTTTAATACTTAGAGTTGTGTGCACATATTTCAATGTCTTTTATTAATAAAATTAAAAAAAACATTGACATCCAAATGGCATCTTGATTTAAACTCCTCTGCTGTGCCTCACTTGCTGGGACAGTTGTACCAGTCTTTGGTTACAGTCTTTCCTGTGAGAGCAGTAACAGGTCGTGCTATTCTTTTGCCAACATCCAAACTGTAGTACCGATCTGAAAAGAAGAGAGGTCACAATTAAATTCCAGAGACTGTATTAAATTCATGGGAAGAATTCACAAACTCAAGCCTTCATTTTAATGTTACTTAGGCCTGGATAACAGATTTACTGTTCCATGTGCATACAGGGAGCTGAGAGGCTTCAACAATAAATTTGTCCTCAGCTTTATTTTTCAGGTGTCCTTGGTTACAGTAAGTTTTATGGCATTGCTAATAATTAAATCTGTCCCAAGAGCAGGAGCAGGGAAGAATGTTCTTGTGTGGCTAGAACAGAGAAATAGTCTTAAGAATTTGGAAATCAAAGTAACTACATCCACAACAATCCTGCACTCACTACAGAAGTGGGAAGTCCATGGTCCCTGAGTGTGAATGAGCCTGTGAGGCTGATTCCTCCAAGGTGAGGAATTGGATCTTACTGACAGGGCCTTTAATAGCCTGTATTTGTGTATGGCTTGTCCTTAGAGCTATTTAGTTTTTTGAAAACTGAGGAATGCTTCTACAGGATCCTGGCTGGGGGAATGAGTCTGCCTAGGATCACAAATAATTTTTCTGAGCTAAGTCAAGTGGTTCATCTCTCTCCTTTTTGTGTTGTGTCAGAAACATAAGTTCCATAGAAGCCATTTAAAAACTTTCTGTGTTGTGATCCAAAGACTTCAGTCTATCATTAACATAATCTGTCATTTAAGGTTTGTCCCTTTACAAGGCTGAACTCACTGGCAATGCATTCCCCAACTGGCTGCTTTGAACCTCTGTATTTCATTGCTGCATGTTGTCCTGTAACTACTGATTTTTAATAGAAACATCTTTTGATTATGGGCAACACTTTAATTCTCAGGACTTTTTAGTAGCGCTGAAAGTAGGACCACAAATGATAACAGGAGCTTCTTTCTTCCCCACCCCCATATCTTTTGAGGTCTATAGTGATGTGCTTTAGTTTTACTTACTGTAAGAGAAGGCGTAGTAGTCATAGCCATCGGGCTTGTTCTGGTTGGGCACGGAGAGAGTTGAGTGGACAACTTTGGGGAGCCCTCTCCAGTACGTTGTCATTTGGATTTCCTTGCGCAGAACTCCTGCAAGCAAAAGGAACTCTCCTTGAGGAGCTGTGGCACTGCTGTGGCACTGTGTCCCCTACAGCCATTGAAACCTTACAAACACAATGTTGTGTCAGAGGTGAAAGCATCTGTGTAAGAGAGCCTTAGTGCCACTTACCAGAGGGGTGGGAGTTGATCCTGACCGTGCGGATGACGGTCGGCATTCGCACAGCACGCTGGAAGCGCCGCCGGATGACAACTCTGGGGACAAAGGCTGGGTATCTGATGGTGACCCGGGCTCTTCTTTGACACTTCTTGGCTGGCTCTTGTCTGTACACATACTGCTGCATGTTCCCATCTAAAACACATTTGTTTTGTTAGTTTAAAAAAATAAATCCCCCCCAAAAAACCACCTAACCACCAGCTTGATCAGGTATGAAAATGTCATATTGCTATCACACACAGGGAATCAATAACAACATTCTTGTGGTGGCGGTACAGCATTCATGTAAGATAAGGAAAATACTTTAAAATAGGAAATCAGAAATAATATTGCTATCACACACAGGGAATCAATAACAACATTCTTGTGGTGGTGGTACAGCATTCATGTAAAATAGGAAATCAGAAATAGAGATGGAAATTTCCACACATAGTTATGAACTAGCAAGATTGAAGCCTTCCCTTCTCTAATTAACTTGAGACTAAAATAGCTTTACCACCGGATGAAACTTACTTCAATGTCCAGCCACTGCAGTGCTAGATTCCTGGATTCTCACCCTTACAGATCTGGTTTAAAATGCACTGAAAGACCTCCAAGTTCTAATACAAATTTTTTAAAGCTTCAGGCTATTTTTGAGCACCTGGAACACTGGCATCATTTATGTTTCTGTGTTTGAAAGAAATAGGTCTTGGATCAAGAGAAACAGTGAATTCCTGACTAAGGCAATTCAAGCACCTTTTGATGTTTCCTGAACTTCAGGAATACAAGACATACCTCTTTTGATAAAATAAACAGATTCTGGTCTGTTGTTGTATCTTGCCACAGGGAGGGTTGCTACTATTCTCCCACTTAACCCTGCAAATCCAGTTGCGAGAGGTTTGGGATAGCCATTATCCATAACACCATTAGTGAAGCGCCAGTACAGGGGACCCTGAGCATTTAAGGAGGAGAAAAAAAACAAAAACAAAAGAGCTTTAGAGGAAATTAATTCCTGGTTATTCAACTACAAAACAAACATGAAGAATAATCCATAAATCCGTAAAAAAGCAGTAGCACTTTGATAGCTACATTGTAAATCTGACTGGAATCACTCCTACATCCATACAAATGGGATAAAACTACTACAACTTTAAGTACCTCTTGCAGCCTTTTAACCTTTGAGTAGGGTTGGAGGATCTTAGAGGCTAATTTTTAAGAGGGGTTACTGAACAAAGGGGTTTCCTTTCTAAAGCCCTTAAATTTTCATAGATATAACAAGCAGCTTGAATTCCAGGACTGTGTGATTTATTGGGAAGTAACTGCATGACAGCTTTAATGAGACACGTGCATTTCATTAGCATTCTATTTCAGGTTGGGAAACACACTAGGAATAAGTTTAGGCAATCTTTTTCCCCAGTATCCAGTCTGAACCTCCCTGGTGCAACCTAAGGCCCGTTCCCTCTCATCCTGTTGCTGTTCCCTGGGAGCACAGCCCGACTCCCCCGGCTGTCCCCTCCTGTCAGGGAGCTGTGCAGAGCCACAAGGTCCCCCTTGATCCTCCTTTCCCCCCGGCTGAGCCTCCCCAGCTGCTCCTCATCAGCCTCGCCCCACCCTGCCGGCCGGGACCGCTCCCACCTTGATGAAGAAGGTTTTCCCATCGCAGTTGCACCTGGAGAAGACGGAGTCGATGGGCGAGGGGATGCCCCAGCCGTCGGTGATCCGGCGGGGGTTGGTGGTCGGAGGGGTCCGGCCGTTCAGCAGCCAGTAATAGTGACCTGGAGGGGGGGACAGGCGTGAGGGGCGCCGGGGACAGCACGTCCTGCCCCGGGGGACAAGGCTGAGCCGGCCCCATGAGGGATCGGGGGACTCGGACTCTGGGCTCGGGAGAGTTTCCTGAGGGGTGAGGGGCACCGGGACGAGTGAAAAAGGCAAAAAAGGAGGAAGAGCGACGGGGCAGGAGGAGGAGGAGGTAATGAAGGTGAAGGTGAAGGATTGGGTTCGGGAAAGATGAGGGAGGGAGAAGGAGGAGGCTGGGGCAGGTGAGGGAGGAGCTCCGGCGCTGTGCGGGGAAAGAGGAGGGCCGGGGCCGGAGCAGGTGAAGGGGGGCCGGGGCTGGTGAAGGTGAAACGGGGCCAGGCCGGAGCCCGTGGAGGATGCGGAGGGCCGGGGCCGGAGCCGGAGCCGGAGCCGGAGCAGGAGCAGGAGCAGGTGAAGGTGAAACGGGGCCGGGGCTGGTGAAAGTGAAACGGGGCCACGCCGGAGCCCGTGGAGGATGTTCGGAGCAGTCTCACCTCGGAAGACGGCCAGGGTGCCATTGGGCAGGGCCACCATGCCGTCCGCTGGCTTGCCGCTGCACAGGTCCTTCTCGTCGTTCTTCTCTGCAAAACACAGCCAGGTGGGTTTGTTTAAGGTTCCACAGGAACCGCCTTAGCTTTCCCCTCGGCCCCGCCGGTGGGCCAGGGATTAATTCCTCATCGGGGACGTGTTCTCTGGGAAGTTCGGCTCTGGTGCAGCAGTGCCGAGTGACCAGGTGTGGGTGTCTTTGCTTATTGCCACCTAAGTGCCTGTAATTCAGGAAAACACCTACAAACACCTCGTATTCTACATGCTCTAGGATTTTATTGTTCCTTTAAGCTGGTTTAGCAGCTTCTCTTCCCTTTTGTTATTTCTTTAAAAAAAATAAATAAGCATTTATGCTTCCTTTCAGTTAAACAATTTTATGCAGTTAAATATAAAGGAACGATGAATCTCATTTAAATTGAAATTCAAGTATTTTGCATCTAAAGCCCTAATTTTTCCCCCCAAAATATCTTTCAGTATCTGATTCAAAAATTGCCCAAGAACCTGCAGACTGTGACTGATTAAAATAAAGAAAGGGTGTGAAAAACGCTGTGGCAGAAAGCAAGGCAAGAGAATTCTTGTCTCTTTTATATGATACTTTTAGTAGGTGGCTACAAAACACCAGGTTAGGTACCATGAGGGAGGGTAGATATGCAGCCTGACTTCCAGCAATTTTTTTCAGGGGATTTTGAAATTTGTCATTTTTTTCCTTGACTTTTTGTCTGTTTGCATCTTCAATGATAGCAAACAGAAGGAGGAGAAACTGATAGCGAACAATTTTCAGTAGGACTAATTACTGAAACAAATTAATTTAGATCGTGTTCTGAACTACCTGGAGGATTTAATTAACTCCACAGCTGCTGATGCTTTCATACCTGCTGGAATGCACTTACCTTGTGTTTCTCCAGGGAACATTGGCAGGTCCCCAACTTGTATTAAAGGCTTGTTTATTTCCGGTTCTTCTTTCGCTGGCAGAGTTTCAGGTTCAGTTGGATGAGGCTCTTCTGTGGCCTCAGTGACCTCCTGGAAATGTATTGTTGGCTTGGATGTCCCATTAAACACAAGATACATTTCCTCTATTGTGTCCTTTTTATCCCTTGTTGTGGTTTCTTTGGGAACTGTAGTTACCTCTTCTTTGGCAATACCAGGGGCCTTTTCAGTGACATCTTCCATTTCTTTTTCAGGTGTGGTGCCCATTTCTTTAATGGTTGTTACCTCTTTTTTACCAGGTGTCATCTCCACAATAACACAAGCAGCACCTGGGCTCTCTTTGTCTGCTGCTGGCCCAGCCTGCTCAGTGTCTGTAGTTGTCTCTTTTTCATTTGGTGTTACAGCCTCACCAGGCTGAGGAGTTGAATCTTCTTTGATGGTTGTTACCAGCACAGTGGGATTGGGCAAGGGAGCTGTGGCTGCTGTTGTTGCAGTCTTGGTGTCTGTAGAAGTTGTTTCTGATTCAGCTGCTGCAGTGACAGGTTCCTCGGCCGTAGGAGCTGTGTTTGGAAGGTCATCCATACCTTTAGGAGAATCACCTGGTTTAGCTGTTGTCACCATAGATACAGTAACTGTGTCTTTCCCAGTTGCAGCTGTGAAAATGTCTTTAAGCAGAGTAGTTCTGTCTTTCTTTGGTGTTGTTGTCTCCTTGTTCTCAATTGTGGTATCTGAAAGCATTGTCCCTGCCCCAGCTGTGGGGGAGTCCTTGCCAACAGTTGTGGGTTCAGCACTGCCCGGAGAAGCTGTGGCTTTACTGGCCTCAGGGGCTGCAGGGATGGTCGGAGAGTCAGAATCCTCTGCTTTAGGGGTGGTGGGAGAGTCTGCCTTGGTTGTTTCTTCTGGGGTTGTTTCTTCAGCTTTGGGGGTGGTGGCAGGAGAGTCTGCCTTGGTTGTTGGCTCCTCTGGGGTTGTTTCTTCAGGTTTGGGGGTAGTGGGAGAGTCTGGCAAGGTGGTCGGCTCCTCTGGGGTTGGCTCTTTGGGTTTGGGAGTTGTCGGCTCCTCTGGGGTTGCCTCCTCTGGTTTAGGAGTTGTTGGCTCCTCTAGGGTTGTTTCCTCTGGTTTAGGGGTTTGCTCCTCTGGTTTAGGAGTTGTCGGCTCCTCTGGGGTTGTCTCCTCTGGTGCTGGTGTTGTCGGCTCCTCTGGGGTCGGCTCCTCTGGTTTAGGGGTTGTCGGCTCCTCTGGTTTAGGAGTTGTCAGCTCCTCTGGGGTTATCTCCTCTACTTTAGGAGTTGTCGGCTCCTCTGCTTTAGGAGTTGTCGGCTCCTCTGCTTTAGGAGTTGTCGGCTCCTCTGCTTTAGGAGTTGTTGGTTCTTCTGGGATTGTCTCCTCTGGTTTAGGAGTTGTCGGCTCCTCTGCTTTAGGAGTTGTCGGTTCTTCTGGGATTGTCTCCTCTGGTTTAGGAGTTGTCGGCTCCTCGGGGGTTGTCTCCTCTGGTGCTGGTGTTGTCGGCTCCTCGGGGGTTGTCTCCTCTGGTGCTGGTGTTGTCGGCTCCTCTGGGGTTGGATCCTCTGGTTTAGGAGTTGTCGGTTCCTCTGGGGTTGTCTCCTCTGGTTTTGGAGTTGTCGGATCCCCTGGTGGGGGGGTTGTCTCCTCTGGTTTAGGAGTTGTCGGCTCCTCTGCTTTAGGAGTTGTCGGCTCCTCTGCTTTAGGAGTTGTCGGCTCCTCTGCTTTAGGAGTTGTCGGCTCCTCTGCTTTAGGAGTTGTCGGCTCCTCTGCTTTAGGAGTTGTCGGCTCCTCTGCTTTAGGAGTTGTCGGCTCCTCTGCTTTAGGAGTTGTCGGCTCCTCTGCTTTAGGAGTTGTCGGCTCCTCTGCTTTAGGAGTTGTCGGCTCCTCTGCTTTAGGAGTTGTCGGCTCCTCTGCTTTAGGAGTTGTCGGCTCCTCTGCTTTAGGAGTTGTCGGCTCCTCTGCTTTAGGAGTTGTCGGCTCCTCTGCTTTAGGAGTTGTCGGCTCCTCTGCTTTAGGAGTTGTCGGCTCCTCTGCTTTAGGAGTTGTCGGCTCCTCTGCTTTAGGAGTTGTCGGCTCCTCTGCTTTAGGAGTTGTCGGCTCCTCTGCTTTAGGAGTTGTCGGCTCCTCTGCTTTAGGAGTTGTCGGCTCCTCTGCTTTAGGAGTTGTCGGCTCCTCTGCTTTAGGAGTTGTCGGCTCCTCTGCTTTAGGAGTTGTCGGCTCCTCTGCTTTAGGAGTTGTCGGCTCCTCTGCTTTAGGAGTTGTCGGCTCCTCTGCTTTAGGAGTTGTCGGCTCCTCTGCTTTAGGAGTTGTCGGCTCCTCTGCTTTAGGAGTTGTCGGCTCCTCTGCTTTAGGAGTTGTCGGCTCCTCTGCTTTAGGAGTTGTCGGCTCCTCTGCTTTAGGAGTTGTCGGCTCCTCTGCTTTAGGAGTTGTCGGCTCCTCTGCTTTAGGAGTTGTCGGCTCCTCTGCTTTAGGAGTTGTCGGCTCCTCTGCTTTAGGAGTTGTCGGCTCCTCTGCTTTAGGAGTTGTCGGCTCCTCTGCTTTAGGAGTTGTCGGCTCCTCTGCTTTAGGAGTTGTCGGCTCCTCTGCTTTAGGAGTTGTCGGCTCCTCTGCTTTAGGAGTTGTCGGCTCCTCTGCTTTAGGAGTTGTCGGCTCCTCTGCTTTAGGAGTTGTCGGCTCCTCTGCTTTAGGAGTTGTCGGCTCCTCTGCTTTAGGAGTTGTCGGCTCCTCTGCTTTAGGAGTTGTCGGCTCCTCTGCTTTAGGAGTTGTCGGCTCCTCTGCTTTAGGAGTTGTCGGCTCCTCTGCTTTAGGAGTTGTCGGCTCCTCTGCTTTAGGAGTTGTCGGCTCCTCTGCTTTAGGAGTTGTCGGCTCCTCTGCTTTAGGAGTTGTCGGCTCCTCTGCTTTAGGAGTTGTCGGCTCCTCTGCTTTAGGAGTTGTCGGCTCCTCTGCTTTAGGAGTTGTCGGCTCCTCTGCTTTAGGAGTTGTCGGCTCCTCTGCTTTAGGAGTTGTCGGCTCCTCTGCTTTAGGAGTTGTCGGCTCCTCTGCTTTAGGAGTTGTCGGCTCCTCTGCTTTAGGAGTTGTCGGCTCCTCTGCTTTAGGAGTTGTCGGCTCCTCTGGGGTTGTCTCTTCAGGTGTGGGGCTGGTGGGGGGCTCGGAATCAGTTGCTGCTGCCTCGGTGGCGTCGAGGGTTGGGTCTTGTGTTGGGGGCAGGTCAGTTGGGTCCATTTCAGTCAGTGGCTCCTCTGTGGCATCAGGGGTCACATCTTCTGTACCCGGAGTGGGAGGGTCGTCTTCAGTGGCTGGTTCCTCTGTGGCTGGAGCAGGAGTGGTCACTTGGTTTTCAGGATCTACAGAACGAATACAAATTTGGTTCAGCCATTTGAATTGCCATGCGGGTAGGTATTGTCTGTAATTGCATTACACCCGTTAGCTGTAGGTGCTTCCTTTGAAATAGCAAGTCCTTTTTTAACGGCCAGACTAACCTGGACCAGGTGGAATGGGAGTTTCTTTTGTCTGCAAGGGACTTTGCAGCAGCTCAGCTCAGTTTTAGATGATCCCTTTTTGACAATCTGGCGCTGCCCCAGGTTCAGGGTTTAGTTTGGTGCCTGTAAGCACAGCTGCCTAGGGTTTCTTGCTGCTTTCATGGAAAAGAAGACACTTTAAAAATAGTCCTTCTAACAGAACACTTCCCTTCTCAGTCTGTTATTTTTATTTATTCCACTGCCGTGCTTTATAACTTAGTCTACGCCAACAACCTGGAATCGGCAGAGTGAGGTAGGGAAGCAGGATGAAAATAATTCCTGAACACAGAGCCCTGACTGCATCTCCTGCTGTATCTTTGTTCCTTGGGTTGTTTTCCTCATTGTGATGTATGGATTTAAGGCTCTCTTTACTTGTATTTATTGTTTTATTGATATGAGTCAAATTGTTATTCAGTAAGAGGAAGAGCAAATGCTTCTTCATTTCAATCTCTCCCTAAGTATTCTCTCTCCGAGATTTTGCAGATTAGTTCTGCTTTCACAAATGTTTGTGTTTAGTATGAGCAGAATATTACAGAATAGGTTTCACTCCCATCCCATGTATCTGAAATACCATAAGCTAGCTGGGATCCTGTTAATGGTTATTTGAATTTCCTTAATTTTCTTTCATTTAACCTACTATATGGTTTTTAGGGGTTTTTTTGTTTTTTGTTGTTGTTGTTGTTGGTTTTTTTGGGGGGGGGGGGTGGGGGTTGTTGATTTTTGGTTTGGTTTGTTTTTTGGGTTTTTTTGTAATAGGAAATTGGAACAGCAGAAAATAAGTACTCCAAATCTAAAACAAAAAGAAGAAGGGGGAGAGGATTAAAATATTGACTGACTTGTAGGGTCTTTTCAATTGTGCTTGAAGTTCAAACTGGTCTCCTGAGTTATCACTTCAAATGCTGTAACACAGTACCAAAGAACACAGGAAAGCAGCATATTTTCCAGTCAGAATAAATAAATAAGTGTGTTCACTGAAGCAGCATAAGGCCTGGCTTGATTGAAGCTAGAGGAACCTCCTAGGACATTTTCCTGTGCTGCCAGTTCATCACTGTCCCACCCTTCCTGTTCCAGCCACGGATGCTGTCCAAAACTGACAATGGTCCGTACCCTGTTTTTGGAGGATGTGTGTGACGACCCAGTAGAGACACAGGAGGCATCACCTCTCTGCACCGTCTGTGCTGAGTGAACTCTCCAAAGTCCTGAGGGCTTGGTGAGGTAATCAGTTTATAAACCAAGTGCTTCCAAGCTTGCTAACTGTCTGGTAATGTCTAGGATCAGCTTTCTATTTCTAGAGCAGGAAAATGGTCTTTAATTTTCCTTTAGGTAACACCCATCCTGGTGCATACATGCATACTTGCCTACCTTCCACAGCTTCCTCTGGTGACTCTTCCTCATCTGTGGAGGACCTTTTAGATGTTGATTTGTTGTCTGGAGGAGTCTCTGGGGTTGGCTTTTCTGTGTGTGCTGAAAGAGAGAGGTGCTTCCATTAACAGGTTATTTTATCTTTATAGGTACTTGGTGTCAACTGTATAAGAGTGATTACAAAATTTCAGTGACCATCTTCCATTTAAAACTAAGTTTCTCTTCATTTATGGGATTCTTTACACAAATATTTGTGTGAAAAACAGCACAAATACCCTTTTGATCCTGAAGTATTTAGTCACAGATGGGAGCAATATTTTTTCCAGAAGTTTGAGGTGAAGCATTATTAGCTAATGGCAATTTTGAGGTGGGAAAAGAAATTAATTCTGAGCAGAGCTCTAGTTCTGAAAATTTGTCTTATTTTTTTTCACTACAGATGACTTTTTACTACTTGACTTTCACTACAGATAAGTAACTCTAGTGGAAATAGGAGAGCTGTCATATTAACCAAGAATTTACTTTGATAATCCCCTTGCAGCTCTTCAGATGTGATAATTCTACACAAGTGATTGTTTTGGGGAGACATTTTGAAATAAATGGTTTCCTTGAAGCTGACAGGAGCTACAAAGCAGGCATGGACCAACATAGGTATTAAGCTAGCTTCTAGTAGGCTGAGTTTTTGGAGAAGTGGGTGGTTGTGTTCAGATTTTTCAGCTCTGAAGAGTGAATGGAAATTCGGTTGCATCCAGTAAGAGCCAGATAATATTTTGTAATTAATTGCTGGCCAAATTGTACGATTGGAAATTAGCTACTTGCATAGCCTTGTAGAAGGAACTTGTTAATTGTGAAGGAAATGTGATGAAGCTCAGGGAACTGGCCAAATTATTTTGATCCAACCAAGAGAGCTGGTAACTGCTAGAGGTGTGTGTAATCAGCTTTTTACAAAAGGAATGGGATTTTTGTCTCCAAGGGATGACCATGGTGTCAAAATATTTACTTTCACAGTGAGCTAGTGCTCAAAACAAGAAAGGTTGGGTATTGCACTATATCCTGAAACCTTTATTGAGGAAGAGAGAGAAATTGTAGTTGAAGCTGAATGACTCCTTTGAAAGCCAGTTGTTGGGGAGGGAAACGTTTTGCTTATGTGTGTGTACATGTATTCAGGGAATAAAGAGCTTCTGGAGGATAGGGAAGATAACAGTGAGCTCTGGGTATGCATTGTACACTTGGCTTTACTGTAGAGAAGAAAATGTTCAGAGGATGCTAAGCCAGCAAATTTATTCTAAGAGGTTTAACAGATTTCTTAGTTATTCACACATAGTATAAGTAGTAAAATACTGAGTACAGTGGTTTGGGGGATTTCTGCTGGATCTTTTGACCAAAACTGATAGCAAAGCTTAATACAGTACAGAAGAAACTCTAATCTTAGGAATGGTTGATTAATTCTTCATTACATTTTAACTGAAGAAATGAAATGGTTTAACAGCGTTTTGTGAGTGTTTGGGTGCGATTCCTCAGCAGAAAGAGGGAAATTCTAAGCAGCCTCACAGCAGCAAATTCACCTCAATATGCTTCCAAGACACTTCTCTAGACATTCAGTCAAAAATGCTGGATACAGACTCTATTTCAGTCTAAATTACTGGGCAGTTTTGTGGCAAAGCCAAGCTACTATCCCAGCATTTGGGGACCAAATGGGTGAAGAGAACCAAATGATAATTGTAACTTGTGTTGTGTGTCATGCTGTGGGCTTTGGGAATTGGCTGCCTTGGAGGTGGGCTGCTCTGTGGATGCAGCGATCCCGTGCCAGGCCACATATGTCAAGTGTGTTGACAGAAATTAATTTAGGTCTGTAGGTACCATAAAATTTAAGGACATTATGAAATTGAACATATTCTGTTGTTGTTTTTTAGAGTTCATTTGATGGTGTCCTGAAAGCTACATGAGGGTGGGACTGCACCTCCAGGTCTGTACCTTTGTGCTCAGCTGAAACCCCACCAGGCTCTGCAGAAAAGGACAGAACAAAAGAAGTGACTGCAGGTCAGTTGATTCTGCCCTGGACTGAACTTGCAGCCTAAAGGTAAAATATGTGTTTTCTTAAATTTTTTCTTGCTACACTGTGAACATGTGGCATTCAGTTCCTCCCTCCTGTCCCACAGGATGGGTTTCTGTGTCAGGCTGCTCTTCCCACATTGGATTTGAGATGGGGAGAATCTAGGATGTGCATCTCTAATATGCTGCCGGTGACTGTGGTGACCACAAGCAAGTGGTCTGGAGGTCCAGGTAGTGTTATCCAAAGGCACAGAGTAGCCATTCCCCACTTTTGGATGGGTGGGGATTTTAAGGGAGTTGTTTTTAGAAGATGAACTCACCTTTTTATTGCAATTTATTTATTCATCTGCTTAGTGGAAAAGGCCCTGGGGTTGCAGGAGACAGTGGCTAAATGTGTGCCCAGGTGGGCAGGAGGCCAGTGGCCCCTGGGCTGTGCCAGCCCTGGTGTGGGCACAGGCCCGGGTCAGCGGCTGTGCCCTGTGCTGGCCCTGCTGAGGGACCTCGAGTGCTGTGCCCAGTGCTGGTCCCTCGTGGCCAGAGAGACCTTGAGGGGCTGGAGCGTGTCCAGGGAAGGGAACGGAGCTGGGGAAGGGGCTGGAGCACCAGGAGGGGCTGAGGGAGCTGGGAAAGGGGCTCAGCCTGGAGAAAAGGAGGCTCGGGGGGGAAATTCTGGCTCTGCACAACTCCCTGACAGGAGGGGACAGCTGGGGGGGGGGGGGGGGTGTGTCAGGCTTTGCTCCCAAGAACATGGGATAGGACAAGAGGAAATGACCCCTAGGAGCACCAGGGGAGCTTTAGGTTCCCAGGCTGCCCAGGGCAGGAGTGGAGACCCAATTCCTAGAGGGATTTAAAAGCTATGTGAATGTGGCACTTGGGACATGTTTTAGTGGTGGCCTTCGCAGTGCTGGGGGAACGGTTGGATACAATGATCTCAAAAGGTCTTTTCCAAACTAATCTGTTCTGATTCCCCAGCTTCTCTCATTGAATTCTATTACTGATGTGCAGACCTTATCTTTACACACAGTATTCTGAGTAAGGGCTCTGCCAGAGCATGGCTAATGGCAAAAGAGCCTAATGTAAAATACGACTTTAACCTCAGAATTCACATCTTGGGGACGGCTTCCAGGATATCTACCTGTATGTTTCCATAAAGTGTTCATGTTTGAGAAGCTGGCCAATTTGTTTGTGAAATTCGGTTTTGTTATGTTTTGTTTGTTTTGTTCTGTTTTATGTTTTTCAGTTGTTACCCACACTGTTTTGTTTATGGTAAAGCACCTCTGCTTAAATATGACTTTGTGAAACAGACAGAGAAATGTCTTACCCTCTTTACAGTACTTGACGTAGTCTGGGCAGCATTTTCCGTATCGCTCACAGTCGGCGTCGCAGTCACACTCCCTTCCCCTCTCGAAGGCTTCGAAGCAGCGTCCCTCGCAGGAGGCGGCTGTGGAGGCAGAGCAGCACAGTCAGGCTTTGGGCCAGCTCGTGTGCAACGCTGGGACCTCTCTACAGTGAAGTCGTTGGCTCGAGCTGGTGCCAAGAGCAGCTCCATAAAATCAGGCTCTTATCCCGGTCTGATCCAGGATTTGTCTGTAATGTGGGGTTTGGGTCAGGCAGTGCCATAAAGGGCACCGTGCCATGGCAGTGACCATTGGATTGACAGTGCAATAAAACCTGACCGCCGCGTTCACTTTAGCCAGGTCCCACCGTAGGAGGGTTCTGCTTCCCCAGCCACAGAGAGGTGATCTCAAGAGTGATATTTAAATTCTGGGTTTGCAGGAAGGTGTTCACCAGGGTATCCCTTTACAACAAGAATGATGTGTCTACCAAAGCATTTCTGAAAAATAATTCACCTAATTAGGTCACAACCGAGTGGTTGTGACCTGGTGTGTCCAGGCAAACACTGCAACCTAGTGTGAACAGGTTAGCCAAGTTACCCCAAGAGACCAGTTTGGAACTGTTTAATACAGTTCTTTAATTATTAGTACTAAAGGACTATATACCATATTTTGACATGACTTTAATATTTCATGTTTGGTTAACTTCTGAAACTTCACTGACCAAACTATTTCATATCAAATAATGACTATGTTGTGTTAGAAAGAGTGTGCACAGCTATTAGACTTCAGAAAAAGCACTTTCTCTACAAAGAGTGTGCACAGCTATTAGACTTCAGAAAAAGCACTTTATGTAGGTTTCTATTGAAGTCATTGTCTCTGGGGCACACAAGGCATAAAATCATGTTTTACAGTTAAATCAGTATCAAGAAAAATTAGGATTGCTGTATAGGCAGATTCTGAACATCTTTGGATTAATGCAGTTGTGGAATTAAGTGTTGAGCCAGTGGATCCATCCCACATGCACAGGTGAGAATTATTTTTATTATCTTAGGGAAAAATTTATTCAGAAATAATGTCTGGCATTTCTGTCACTTAGTGTTGATTCCACACTCACTGGGCAACAGTCCTTAAGCAGACTGCCTGCATCCTTTCAGGATGGCACCTATTGTGCTTGCCTGGACTCACTGATTTGGAGTAGAAAAGGGAAGACTTCCTCTAGTCTTAAACTTTCGGTTAAATGTTGTGCAGAAGCCAGAATACCTTTAGAATCTGACCCACAATGAATAAATAACCTCCATAATTAAAATGCCTCACTTTGCATCTTCAGCTGTGAGAAATGCTGATGTCCCCCCACAAAGCTAAATGAAGATAGGGAAGACTGAAGGGCAAAGTGTCCCCAGTGTGTGTCAGGGCAGCAGAACTGGAATTTTAGGGAATGCTAGGTCTGCATTTTGAACAACACTCAGTGGTGTAGCTGATTCTGAGAAGTATTTGTTACTCCTGTAATTCTACTGGAACCACAGTATAGTGTAACAAACTACTGTTATCCAAATCACTGACATTTCTGACAATGGTGATTGCTAAGAAAATGCTTTTAATGGTCAGTAAAGCAATAATCTGTTTTTATTTACATTGTACAGTTTTGCCTATAAATAAGGCATAAATTAATACTCATCCAAACACATTTTCCAGCAGACTCTGGACATGGTTCTGATCCAGAGTCAATTTCTGTCCATGGAAGGACACCCTGGCTTTGGATTAGACCCCACAGCATCCACACTTCTTAAATTTGAGTTGGAATATGTCAGAATTTCTTTCTGCAAAACCCTAAATTGGCTTTTAACCATTTCTTTTTTTTTGTATAAGAGACAGACACATGCAGTACAAATACACTAAGGAGTAGAAAACAAACAGTTTTTGCTAATCTTGCCTAGTTCTGCTTTTGTAAAAAGCAAAATTCTTTGCTTGGAAATAACCTGTGGATACACAATTTTCTTTGGATTGCAAGAGGTTACCCTGAATATTTGAGGGGAGCAACAATACATGTATGAGAGGGAACAAGGACACAGCAAACCAACAGACATTTAAGCATTCAGAGAGGAGACACTGGTGTGGTAGGGAGCTGGGAGTGGAATTTGAGGAGAGGAACTGGCTGTGTTTGGGAACTTACCCACTATGCAGACTTTCCTGAAGTCAGGGCAGCACTCCATGTAGTGGTGACAGTTAAAATCACACTGGCAGTCATGCTCTCTAGAATACCCTGACCCACATCTCCCTGTACAGCTCGATACATCTAAAATCACACAACACTGGTGTAAGCATTGCCCAGCCACAACGGTCCTTAAGGTAATGCTGAATGGAAAAGAGCTAAAGTTTCTCTCTTTTTTTCCTACAGAATGTGGTTTCCTCACTCAGTACTGCAGAAGCTGAGGGCCTGGTGTGACCCCTCCTGAAGGTGTGGGGAGCAGAGGTTTGCTCTGAGCCAGCCTGAGGACCACCAGCAGCACATGTTCAGGTTAGAGGGGTCTTCCACTGAGATAACTTAACCCTTTTCTTCTGAAAACTAAGGAATCCTTGAGTATTGGTTCTGTATGTATGACCACAGGCTTCCAAACTAACCCCTTAGACAGTATATCAGCTCTGCTGATTTACTCTCCAATTTGATTCACCCTCTGTATAATAGGTGTGCATCTGCACACCCATACCTGACAGACCCTCTAGGTGTTTGATTTTTACTGTTGGTAATGCTGTTCCTAATAACCCATCTAATCAGGTTAGCTTGCAAACTGGAGAGCACTCTCATAATAAATACAGGTCCCTGAAACCACTTTTACTGGAAGTTTCCAAATCTGCCTACTCCCTACACTATATTTATTCCCTGATGTCAGGGAAGAATTTGGTATCAGCTCTAAGGTTAAGAACAGTTGGGATCTAGCCCTGTAACTCCTATGAAGTACATTTTGTTAATTAGAAGATTATGTACTAGCACACTAACAAAAGTTCATCCCCACAATGACTTTACTGCCAGACTGCTGGGAAATGCTGGATAACAAGAAATGGTGCAGATAACAGGTGATAAAACAAGACACCAGGAGGTGTCTTGCTTTAACCTGGAGCATTCCAGCTTGGCAGTGCCTTGCTGCCTTCTTCTGCCAAATCAGATATTCACCCTGCAACCCTCCCCTTCCTCTGTGAAATCTCTGCTAACACAACCAGCTAACAGCTTCTTCTGGAAATGAAACATGCAGGACCACAAGTGAAGCGTCCCTAAATACAAACAAAGAAGCTGAACAATCAGCAAGCCCAAACAGATAATCAGCTGAAACATTGAGAAACAACAAGGAAATAACATGTAACACAACACAACACCAAAGACAATTTCTAGCAGCACACACTCCACGTGTGTGTGTCTGAAGGAAAAGCATGGGATAACAAATATTATATCTATTACATATACTGTGATTTTCAAACAGTACTTGTAATGCTTGTGACCACTTTGCCACAAAGAGAAAAGTGGAACGAAGGGATAACTGGAGACATTAATGAACTTGAGTTACTGGGCTATTAATACAGCAGTTGAAAACACAAAATGGACATCTTCCTTTCTGGATGTATGCCCAATATATTGAACCCTTCTTCCTTTATGGAAAGAAAATAAGTCCAGTAGTTATATGGAAATATGTAGTAGTCCAATAGTTGCACCTCTTCATTAATTTCTTTTATGACTTGCAAGTTATGGAGTTACTTGTAAGGAAAATGCCTGAATGGTCCTGGTTGCTGTTGGCAAAAATCTTGATTTTTGCTGAAACTGGTGGAAAGGCATCAGTTATCAAGGGGTCAGTGTAAGGTCATATCTGGCATGGGGTGTGCCCTGAGGAACTTCTCAGATACATGGCACTGTGCCTTCTGCTATCAAGTAGTAATAATTTTCTACCAGCAAGTAATGCCTAGTGTCATCCCCCTGAAAATTTGAGAGCTATTAGAGAACTGCAACAGCACAGGATTTGCTAGAGGGCATGTTCTGCTTCACCATAACAGTGTTACTTTAGTAAGGAATCAATTATAGAGCTTGAAGTATTATTAGACAATTCCCCTAATTTGCCTCACTGGTGTAACAATGGTGCATTTAACGGGAAAGCACTTAGCAAGGTAGAGACATTTCTTTCCCTGAACTTACTGAAATATTTCTAGCCAACCTTTGTGGATATTCTCATGTTAGATTCTTCCTAAATCAAACTGCAAATCACTAGGGCTAAATACATTAGTATGAGGGCAAGAGGCTCTGTAAACTGTCTACAGAAAAAGTAATCGATTCATACACATTTTGCATTACATTTATATTTTTATGTTATTCCTCAAAAAAAGAGGACCATGCTGCACTAAAATTTATTTATGAAAATATTCAGTGATGATAAAACAATCATATTTTCTATCTGAATAAAGTTCTAGGACTTAGTATTTTTATTATATTTTTGAAATATTCTTAATGTGTATCAGGCACACACTGTTTAGACACCCTCTCTTCAGCTTTGTGTGTTACAGTACCTTGAGAAGACACTTCTGGAATCAAGGACAGTGAAAGGACCACCAGGGATAAGCAAAGTATGTTCCATATGATCATAACTTTCAGGTACGACATCATTCCTAAAAAGAAATAATCTCACATCACTACCTGCCATTCACTTAATTCATAATTTTTAAAATGCTGTGCATATCTTTATATATGAGTAGTTTGATAAAAACATAAAATAAATAATAAAACTGTTAAAGGAAAAATTGCTGATTTAGAATTACTCCATAAATTCCCTCTTGATTATTAGTCAATTAGGCTTTAAATTCTGTAATAAGATTGTAGAAATTCATTATTAACAAGTAATAGAAATAAATTTTTGCAGAATTCTATTGCATGAAGACTACAGTCACAGTCGTCTTCTAACATGGGTACACTTCAGCACAACAATGTTGAAAGTTATAATACTGATAAATGAAAATCTATAATAAAACCAAATACTGACAGAACATTAGTTATTCAGCAACATAATTTTATAAACCATAACCTAACATTGAAATATGTTAAATGGAAATTAGACTAAAAGTAAATCTTCTTTCAAAATGAAAACTTTGGATTTTCTGTCCCAGTTCCTTGTTCTCCTATTGAAGAAGAGCTCTGAGTAGAGACAGGTGTAGCACTTACCTAGCAGAGAGTGCGTCTGCTCCCAGGGCTGTTCCAGAGTCCTTATATATTGCTTTGGAGCTGTGCTGGGGTCAGGTAATTAGGCAGCTTGTTAAACACACCACCAATGACAGCTCATGACAGCAAACTTTCCACAGGGCTTGGAAGAGGGCCCGGATGACTAGACTAACACAACATCTGGAAAATACTCCCATTAAGAAAAACGATTACAGAAAAACTAAATAGGGACTTACTAGTCAAAACACATTTTGATTACTGAGAGAAATGAACAAATTGTCCTCAATGCAGCTGGAAGGCATTAGAGAGTATTGCAGAGCAATAAAAAATCATCAGAAGCAAATGCTGAGTGTATTTTCTTTCCTGTCAAATGGAGCTTAGGTGACAGTAGCCTGAAATGATGCAGTTTTATCTGCTACTGATGGTGTATCTTCTCCAAAAAGTTGAGAGCTAATTCATACAGACATAAGTAATTTACCACTTGCACTGAATATTTTGTACTTTCCCCTGAACTGAATGGAAAAGCTGCCAAGGCATTGGCTAGAAATCAAAGAATTGAGTCAAATCACAAAGTTATTGAACATATGATATGTAAGACATCAAAAATGAATGAAAGAGGCCTTAATTGTTTTAATGGTCTTTGTGTTCATTGGTTCCAGATTTGGGATAGTGGAAATGGTAATTTGTAACTCTCAGAGACAAAGGAGGTTTTAACTGAAACTTTTACAGTCCTGACTGTTGGTCTTTAGGAGGGATCTTCTATTCAGAAATTATCCTAAAGGTCAGGGAACTTTAAAACACCTCCTTTGTGATATTACCTCAGTCTCAAAGTGGTTCTGTTAACCCCAAAAATAAATATGGTATAGTACACATTGATCCCAGTTGAGGAAAGCACTTCAAATGAGAATGAGTCTCTTAAGGAAAATAATGCAGAACAGGAGTGGGTTTAAATATGTGTTTGAATGTTTCCCTCACTTGGTTCATTGACTGAACAGCTTTAGTAATTTTATGCTAGAATTTCTAATTTCTGTATTATCACAATAGAGAGATTTCCATTCAGTCTTTCTGCATTGTGTGCAGATGGAATAACTATTTACTTCAATTAAATGGAGTAACTATTACTTCACTTTGTGAGAAAGGGGAGACTGAGTTTTTATGGAGGTTATTCAAGGTCATACAAAAGAAATGTATATTGCATGTCTTATTATAAGAGTTTCAGGCTGTCTTTAGTGGACTATAAGCTTGATAAAGAAACCCTGGCTGGGGTAGAATGGTGCCTGTCTATGATTATTTGAAGCCTGGGGAAGAAGTACTTATTAGAGTAGCCAAATAGTATCAACAAGATGAGAAGTTTCCTAGAAAAGTACTAAAATACTTGTAACTTAATTTATAATTTGATCAAGCAAAACATCTAAGACTGAATTAATGAGTGTATCCTTACTTTGAGATCCATGACATTGAGTAGATTTGTTGTCTTTTCCTGGTGCAGGTGTGAGTCCCAGTAAATACTGGCTGGCTACCTGAGGTGAATATATGTATGTGTGTGTGTATGACTCAATTAAAAAAACCCCAGAAGATCAAAATTATTATCATTTTTCTCTTAACACGCCAGGGCTCAACCGAGTCATACAATTGGGTACAGACACACTTGAAAAATGGGTAGTTGTGACTGACTGCTACATTGTGTTATGGATGTTCCTTTTGGCAGGATTGTGTTTTTAATTTCTCTTCTGAATTGAACTTTTGGGCTGTTAGATATCACATGGAGTTGCAAAGTTTGAGTGAACAGAATTTCATAAGCGGATCAACAGGCTGTGAAGAGCACTTAAGAACCTTTAAATTGTAGTGTCACTGTGTCATTGAGATGGGTGGGCAGACAACAGGTGGGGGCTGATCCTGACCAGCTTTTGCTGGTTTTCCCTTTGTTTTTAGGCATGGATTTTGGAATCCTGCTTTTAATTATAGTTATGGATTCTCATAGATGGCAAGAAAAGTATTCAGGACACGTGCTGGGCAGGGTGTGCTCCTGCTGCTGTACCCAGGCTGGAGTGCCAGGGAGAAGGGCCCAGAGAGGAGTGGGGAGCTGCATGGGCAGGGGAGGGAGACCTCCGTCCCAAACACAGATATAACATAGGGAAAGTACAAAATGTTCCATTTCCTTCTTTTGATTTCAGCTGCCTTTAGGGAAACAAGACTCATTACATTTAGTCATCATTCCTGATGAATAAATAAGGATACATGGCTTCACCAGCATTTTAATTTGTCCTAAAGAAGCACATGGGACCTAATATTGTGGTTAGTCACTCCAATCAAAAAGAGAGAGCCTTATTTTTTATCTGATTTTTATTGCTTCACTTAATATCAACTGGCCAGTCATTTAATTTGGCAAGGCTTTCAGGCAAACGTAAACCCTTCATCAAACCTTGGCATGTGTAACCAAAATCTTATCTGTACTTCAAACTTCCTTAGTAGATTGCATTTTGAAAAAAAAGAAGAGGTAAAAAAAAAGCCCTTCCTTTGCCTAGGTACTGCAATGATCCCAATTACAGCACAATTGCTGTTATTTTTTATTTCTGGATGAACAGATTCCTTACGCTGGTGTCCGTGACCTGGCAGTGCCTTTTCAGGCCTTGGCTTTTCCAGAAGCTCATCAGTCAGTCACATTTATGATAGTGGTTCGGGGATGTGATCATATCCACTGGGATCACATGGAAAATATAAGTCAGTGAATCCCAGACAACAGTTGTTGGGATGATCTGAGCCTGGTTTGACAGAAGCTTTACTGCTTTCTTAGTTCCATCCCTTTCTAAACCCATCAGGATCCTCAAAATATCCTGTGAGTTTCGGATGGACACCTTGAGTGCTCTGAGTCCCTGGAGGACTCAGGAAGAGCTGCTGGGCAATCCCAGCAGAAGTGATACAAACTGAGCGGAGAAAGAGGAAAGGGAAAAGATATTTGAAGTAGTGTTGGCCTATTAAATATTCACTGATTAGTAAACCCTTATTTCACATAAAAGGAATCATAGAAGGAATGTAATTTTAAGTTAAATGAGAATGCTGGAGGTCTCACTGACATTACTAAGAAAAATTATCAAGAATCACAGAAAACTTTTGGTCTTGCAGAAAGGACTGACAGACTTTTAGGGTTGGGGTCTTGGGTGGGGCAAGGAAGGGGATGGTGTAGAGGAGGTAGAAGCCTCCGTGTGGGAAACTCATGGGGTTACAGTTCTGGGACAACTGATAATTGATCAAAGGTGTTTCCTTGTCTTGCCTTCTACAGTCTGTTACTTTCTTCCTTGTACAACTGGCTACCTTTCACTGGCATTTTATCTGATTGTGGGGAAAAGAAAAAAAAAAAAAGAGTTAATTTGAAAAAGACCTCTGACTTTTACGAAAAAGGAATATTAACACCCTAGCTTTTCCATAGTTTATGAGTAGCAGTAGTAGTGCAATGAATTCTGCTGCACCAAGGCTCAAAATGTTCACATACATCATCCAGCTGGTGTAAATACAGATTTATTGTATTTCCAATTCTGAGAAAGATGAGAAATTTTTTTAAAGGTAAGAAGTGGAGAATCATATCTAAATATTACTTAGATATTATGTTTATTTTCACAGAAATCTCAGGTGAGCTCATAATGATAGGTGGAAGACTGGTAGAATCTGCAGGTCTGTGTTAATTTTATAGTACTGCCAATATCAGTAGCAGAAATCTTTTTATTTCAGAAAAGCCTTTAAACTCACTGTAGCTGCAGACATTATGGAACATCTTGAATAGCAGGAGGAGGAGAAGCAGATTTGCTGCCTGGTTACATTTGTGGATTTAATGGACTTCTCTGGAGTTTTATAGATGTCATGATATTTCTCAGTGGGTCCTCACAAGTTTCCGTAAAATAATTTTAAAGGTTTTTATCCCAAAGCTAGAGCATGGGTTTATCTGAGCTAGACTGGGATCTCATTTTATGTGGAATCTGTGCTCTGATTCATACAACAGGGCAGACTTAGTGGCAGAAAATTACTGGGTGAAATCTTTTGGGGAATGTCTGGCAGAACAGGACCTCATTAAATAGGAAATACTGAACTTCTCTTTCTTTTCCCTTACAGGAATTATTTCTCTCTGAACCTGGGCCTAGTGAAATCGTTATAGATTTGAATACACATAGCTGATAAAAGTGAGTTCTGTTTCATAAAAAATGTCTCACAAAATGAAATATATTTTGTATTGTTTGTTCTTTTTTATTCATACAGTGTATGGACTTTCTACTGAATCATAACTGCAAGAAAACAAGAGATTTAAGAATAGGAAGAAAAAAAGTCAAGCAGCATTTCAACATGAAGAATGGCTCAGGATAAGAAGAATGAAGAAAATTAACATGCAAAAGGTAAATCTAGGAGAGTAAGACATTATATATGTATGTCTGTAATGTAGAAAATTATGTTTAGCAGTTAAACCAGAATTCTCAGTTCAACAGTAGGAGCTGAATTAGCACTGGCTCCTGGAAATCTTGGGAATGAAAGATGCAGACAATTCTTTCAGTTACTTATGTCATTACCCCTTCAGGACAGATGGTAGAGACTCCCAGAAACAGTCACCATTTTTCATATGGCTGACAAATAACACCCTCAGTTTGGCAAAAGAGTAGTGAAAAGGTGTCAGACGGGATTTTTCAGACTTGGTATGAAGTATTTTTCTTGTAACATGAAGAATCATCTTTCTTAGACATCACACGCAGGCTACCATAAATAATTCTTTTAACACATATTCAAGCTTTCACTTCTTATGTACTCATGCAAAAATAATCTGTTTGAATGTGTATATGCAAGGGGAGAAATCTTCCTGGATCAGCATAATTGTACGGAAGAGTGATGAGTAGATTTTAATGTATATGGCTCTGAGAAGAGGGTTTTCTTTCTTTTTTGGAACTTTTCTGCTGTTGTTTGACTTCAGAGTGAGAACTGATTAGTAAATTCTGATGCACATTCAACAGGAAGCTCTCAAGTGTCAAATATCAAGCTCCTGTACAAAAAATTCTCCT